AAAATACAGATGCTCATTTTCAACAAGAGTGTCAGAAGCCTGAAAAATAATGTTGGATTCAAAATGCCATTTGTTACAACAAAACTCGTTAGCTGTGGAGATGGTCTGTACCTGAGAAATCAGAGAAAGAAAATTAAAAATGTATTTAACAGCCAAATAGCACAAAGATTATATGTGCACTGTATTGAGAGTACACATGCTCTCTGTCAAGTTACTCCTTATATTGTTAGGTTATAGATTGCCTCTGCTGCCCCCAGCATTTCCATAGAAAATGAACATGAAAAAAGTGGTAAAGTAAGAAAGAAATGAGACAGAAAGCAAGGCAAAATGCAGAGAAAACAGGAATTAATCCAAGAGCAAAGACTACAGAGTTCTGGCAATACGCTAAGGTACAGGGGTTGAGGGAAGCTGTACCTTCTTTTCCAGCCAGCATTCACTGTACCTGTACAAATCAGGTAAGTGGGTTGCAAGTAGATAGTAGAGAGTCAACCTAGAAAAGTGGATACCAATACAAATCTCAAAGAAATGAAAGGAACAACTGGATACTCTTCATTCCTCTTAGTCCCTTCCCTCCACCTAAAGCATCACGAGTGTGACCACCCAGGCGCAGGCTCTGCTGCCTATGGTGAGCAATGTCCACCAGCAGGGGCAAGTCTTGAGACGGGCAGTTTAAAGTTTGCTTGGCTGTTTCTACAGCACAATTCCAGTAAAAAAAGCCCAACACTTGGAGAGTGGAGCAAAAACTTCTGGTGTCCCTTATGGTAATACAAGCAATTGGGATACTGGGACTGCCTGCATTGGCATTTAACTCTGTGACCAAAGGCTGTGCCACTTGGCCTGCAAGCAGCTACACACAAACAGCTACACGCAATGCACCACTGAAAAACAGTGACTCTAAAAATAGCTCCAATTGTCTCCAAGTGCCCATACATTGAAGCCTAATAAGCCAGAGCCACTGCTGCCAGAAGTATGGGATAAGCTAAAGGCCAAGAGCTGCTTTTATTTCTGTTGAGGAGCTCCTTCCAGGACGAACATGAGGTAAGTCCCCACAACTGTGACCATGCCAGTAGCCCCTTAGTGTGCAGCTGTGTAGATGATTTATCTCTAACTGTAAAACCACACTCCTTTTTTAGTTGCATCCTGTTTGCCATATCACCTTCCAAATTCCAGTATTCTTCTGGAATTCATGCTTCCAGCTGCACCCATTGATATTCTCATTTGAAAACTCAACAAATGAATTCCGTATCCCATCATCTCAGTTAATAAAGACTGCTCCAGGAGCTCAACTTCCTACCTGGTTTTGCACAGCCTCATTATGGTATCATCTAAATTAATCTTCTACAGCTTGCTTATGGGAATGTCAGACAAGGCAGTACAACTAAGATCATAAATCAACAATTATGAATTGAAAGCACAGCATTGCTTGGCTAAAGGATCTGTATGCTTGAGTAGAACTGTAACTAATATCCAGGGGGAAGGAAACTTTGCATTCACTTTGAAAGCCTACACAGGTTCATTCTTCACAGCAGAAGATAATAGAAATGTTGGTGCAAGTGCCCCTACTACTATGGTCTCAGAGAGACAACCAACAGAATCATAGCTATCATGATTATACTAATAATTTTAAGGGCCACGGTAATGGTCATGCTGTCCACAAGAGGCAAAATCAGTGTAATAATAACAATCATGCAGAATGATGAACATATAAATCCCAACTATCCAGTAGCTGGTGTGATAAAATTGCTAATGAACCCTAGTGGGTTACCACAAGGTATCTTTACAAGGTAGAAGCTTTCATCAACAAGATATATCCCATTCTCCATGTACAAATCAGTTTTCATAGAAAGATCTGTTCAAATCACTCTTCATTTTTTCTGACAGGAGGAAGCTTCATGTGAGATGTTTCACTTTCACCCATGTAACAGACTGCACTGCTGGTGGACTCCAGAACAGATCCTCTGTGGGCTGGCAGCTGCATCCAAACATGGACCTAATGAAATTCTACAGTAACACAGTAGGACAAATGCAGACCTACAAAAGCAAAGCTTTAGATCTTACTGGTTTGTAATGAAACTGTATGGACTAAATAGATCAGCCAAACATTGAGGACCTATGGTGCCAGTTTCAGCATCCTGCTCTGCTGACCAGAGATTTACCTTTACAATTGCTGCAAGGCTGAAAGCTTTAAGGCAGACTGTTCATATTTTCCCTTCAATTAATACACATACTTGTCAGGAATGGAACGTTTCACGTGGTTATATTTTTATGGACTGATGTAAAGATACTATTGTCACTTCATGGCTATTTTAAGGTTTCTAATCACTGAATGGATGCTGAAAGGCCAAAATAGTTCCTTTTCTGCACGTGAATAAATGAGAGCTTTGCTACTGGTCTACTGGTAGGGTATTTTTATTCTTTCTTTCAGCAACTTCTTCAGTTCCAGACGGAACATCCCCATAGCCCCAAAATATCTATCATAAGGACAAGCAAAACCTTTATTTGAAGAGATACTTCCTGTTAAAAAGACAACATTGTCCTCACTAATACATTATTGCCAGTGAAAAAAAGGCAGTGAACAGATCACAGTGCAGGAAACCTCTGACCAAGAAGAAACTCTTTAAGACCTGCTAACAGCATTTCAAGTAAAATGTATCAGAGGTGAGAATCTTGAGCTAGTAGGAGCTCCAATGACAAGGAATAGTGAAACAGAAGAAAAAACCCTCCTAAAAGGGCTTGGATCATCCAGTGAGGAGACAGGACATTTTCACATTTGCATACCAAGGCTAAGAACACAGGCAAAACCAAACTCCTTGCATTTAACATGCACATCTATAATGCTCTAATACAGGCTTATCCCTGTCATCATCAACACATGACATTCCCGTTCTGTCACCAGCACTCTCCCAGGTGAACAGGACAAATATGACCCCACCATTCTCAACATCCTCACTGGTGACTTTCAAAAGAGGGTTCAAGTAACTCTGCTGTCCAGTCTATGTAGCTCAGTTATTTGAAAATACACAAATGACATTTATCTTCCCAAATGGCAATTTCAACTCTTCCATCAATTTTCACACTCAGAGTGCCCACCAACCCCGCAAATACCAATTACATGCATTTTGAGGACACTACTCATGACAGTCACTCAGCACACCAGAGAAGTACATCATGTTTTTGAAAGAGTCCCATGGATACTGCATAAGAAATAGCTCTTATAAAAAGAGACTCATTTGCTCTCAAACATCCTAAAAACTATCAAAAATAACTCAAAAAAGTGATAATCATAGAATCACAGAATAATGTTAGAACATTCTACCCAGTAGAAAGTTTTCCCCAGAGCCATCCCTGCCTTTCTTTAAGCTGCCTCCCCACCTTCTTAATCATCAGAAGGAACCTTTTTGTGTGGAAAAAAAGAAAAGATAAAAACTTGTACAACTTGTCAAAACCTTCCTCTAAGGACCTTGCTTTTATCCCAGACACCAGCAGTCCCAGGTCTCATACATGAGCTTACTTGGGAAGTCATATCCAGCACACAAGCCACCCTCACACCCCATAGTTGAGACCAAATAACTACTGAGACCAGACTGAACTCAACAGACCACTGATACAGCACAAACACATCCAGCTGTTGCAAAAGCAGCTCTCACAAGGTAATCACTCAATCTCTGATTCCCAATCCTGAGCCTCAAGAGAAACCCACAATCTGCCCTCCAGCCACAAACCTAAGACTAAAAATTAGTAACATTCAAGATAGCAAGACACTGCTTCTCTGCCACACCATAACCTCCCACACTCTCCACACTATCCCCCCTCCACATCCCATAGGCTGTAACCTCTTTCTTTCTTTGCCTATGTTTAAACATGCCAGAAAACATTACTTCTCTTAACCTGAGAAGACAAATATAACATTTAAGCTTTCCTACACATTAGTATTCCCACATTGAACTTGACAGCTCCGTTTCCTTTCAAAGATGCTCTGATAGATACTGAGGGATCCTCTCGGTGTGCATTCCATTCTGAAAGAAAGCTGTCACTTTTAGGTCAGCCTGAAGGTGGCTTGCATGCCTGAAAGCTTTTCTCCTCAAACTACACGGCTGGCCTAATCAAAGACATTACCTCTGCATATGTCCTTAGACATCATGCCAGAACAACGCTACTATGTTCTTATACAGTTTAAAAATCAAGCCAGATTTACATTCCAAGTGCACTTCTAACCCTTGTAAAATGTTTCAAATTCTGATTTTGAATTCCTAAAGGTTTAAAGCCACATTATCCTTCCCAAATCATCGGAAAATTGGATTGACAGTTTATGAGGCCACTGTAAAATTCTGGTTTGCCAACTTAAACTTTAGAAGTCATCACTATCCTCAACCAAACGTTGGAAAAGAGATTAGAAAGTGCTCATTGCCATTAGGAAGAAAGATAAAGCTAGAAAGATGCAGAAACTCTTCATTGCTTACTATGGTAAGAACAGTTGTCCTTAAGGAAGAACAGTCTTCCTTAACAAATCAGCCACCCCAAACCTCTGGTGGAGGAATTATGACCATACTCAGAATACGAGAAAACAAACATGGATCAAAAGGACTTGACATTCAAATGTCTTCACTCTTAACTTTCTGTTCACCATTACAACCAACTCTAATTGCTCTTGTTAATTATTTCATAAGCTACAGAATTTACACTCTCTTGTTCACCTTTTGCCTCCCAGAGCCATGGTTTCTGTAGCAGCTATGGTCCAAATCTTGAGAGATGTAAAAAGCCAGCAGATACACACTCCTGTTCACTCCTCAACGTTCACACATGTGCAGAGAGGCGTGCAGAGTCACAAATTTACTAATAAAGTTCCTGACCCATTTAAGATAGACTACATGTTTTGGAAAACATCTGAACCATCGTATGGGAGGTGAAAGCTCCACTAACCAAGTATTTTCTAGTTGAATGCCTGTCAGTGTCTCTACATTCAACTTATCCTTGTTTTGAAAAACGACCTGTGCTCTTACCATCATGATTAGAATTGCCCAGGGTCCACGGCTCATCCGAATCGAAGTGAGTATCTCCTCCTATTCCTGGTCCAGGAAAGTAAGCATGAGCTAGGAATCCACCTTCTCCATCAAATGGAGAACTGTCTCCATGGAAACCAGAAGCAAAAAATATCATAATATCTGCCTCCTTTCTGTCATTTTTAATTTCATGGTAAGGGACCTCTTCAAAGGTAAGTGGCGTCACTCTCTGCCAAACATCAAATGCCTGACGAATGGCTCTCCTTGTATCGATCTCTCCAACTTTGGGGGTATAGTTGTGTACACTGTGTGAATGAGAAAGAAGGGCTGTTTAAATTTGCAGACTACATTAGAGACTTAATATAATTCCAAAACATAGCCACATCTACACATTTCCAAAAAGTCTTTATTTTTACAGACACTACTTTGTGCACAAAAAGTTTTGCTGTTACAAATAAGTTTTGTTACCAACAAAACAACAGTCCTGATCCGAAGCCTACATTTATTAACAAGAAACTTCCCAATACTGGGGTTGATCTTGCATTGCCTCCTAAAAACCTGACAACCTTTCAAATCCTGGTGCAGACAGTTAAGTAACCTAGTTTAAAAATGTAAATTACTTCAGATTTTGTCTGAAATTAGCATGCTAAAACGGAACCCAGTGTATGAATGAGCTTTAAGGTCCCTTCCAACCCAAACCATTCTGTGATTCTATGAATATGAAATATCTGCCATGGAAACAACTTCCAGTCCTTAATGAAACTGCCTCAACTTACTATAATGATTGACAGATGAAGACAGTGTAATACATTCAGTGGTAAAACAGAACATCTATCACTTGACTGGCACACTGCAAATACTGAGAGTGGGAAGTTAAACAACTAGCAGTTTGACAATGGCAGAAGTGAAGCCATCTGCCAACCTGCCTCCTGAGGTAATGAGTACGCTGAAGATATGCTTTACTTATATGATTATACACCAGTTTTCCCTAAGGCCCAGAATAGGTTAGAAGCAGGATCTACCTCTCCGATCTCCACATACACAAGGAGTACCTTTACAGTTTGAGTTAAGGGAATGATTACTGGAGGAAACTTTGAACAAGTCCCTCCTCCCAGTCTCTGCAGTCCCCAAGTGTTACTTGAAGAATTCTCCACCTTGCTCACAGCTCTTGGCAGAAGCAACAGAGTGCCCTGGGCCCTGATTCTCTATCCCTTCACACCATCATACCTCTTCCTACACATTCCAGCACCTTCCCAACACTGGTCACTCATATTTCTCCCTCTTCACCACAGACTTTCTTTCTGTCTTAGCCTTGCTCACCCATATGTTCTCCTTTACGTCTACAATCTTCATTTTTACTCTACTGCAAATTCCTTTCTTTCCTCCAAAAACAAAGTAAAAGGCTACACTTGCAACCAGGGTGTGTGTTAATTTTAGTTAAGTGATATTCTTATTGTCAGAAACTTCCATTGGTATCATTCAGCAATTGCCTTTCAAATGCTAAAGGCCTAAATGACAAATAAAACACATCTCTGGGAAACAACCCTCACTACATAACACTCACTTGATATCTGCAGCCCACTTCAGCAAATTGCCTCAGCAGACCTAAGTCTGCACAAAAGCAAGAGTAAAACCTCTGCAAAAACAAACATTCAGAAATAGGTTGCAAATTATTAGAGGGAGAAAGTATCACACCTTTAGACAATGGTGTTCCTTCTGCTTTAATGGGTTGTTAAGAAGATGCATGACCTAAGAGCTAGATCCTTTGATTTCTAAGGGATCAGAATGGGACTTAACCAGGATTTTCCTGCCAAATTACACAGTGGGTAACTGGAATTTAGGCATCTTTACCTATCAGTTATTTTCTAATTGAGAACAGACTCTGCAGTTACTCCAGTGCTCTGAAAGTGTTCCCCTCCACCATGTTGTCAGAATGAAAGCCTCAACTAGGTATTACAGGGAAACTCCAGGTTTTAAAAGTACTTACAAAATTTGCATGGTACATTTTTTCCCCAAAAAAAAAAGAGGCAGGAAGTGGGCTATACCTGTAGGTTATATGCTTCTGCCTCCACTTTTGTCCAGTTAGTGCATACCGCTTTTTCCTCCGGCTGCGGCGGAGGTGGGGATGGTCTGGAACTCCACATCGAGGCTTCTTCATCCACCTGCAAGGGAAAAGAAGGAAAGAAAAAGCATGCTAACACAGAGCCTGGAAGAGAGACTCAAAAGAATTCAGGGATGACTGGAAGACCTCTGAGGGATGGCCAATGCAGACACCAGCAGAGCTCAGTCTTCCCTCTCTCGGGTTTACCCTCTCTGCACAGAGCTGTACACCCCATCTCTGCTGGCAATCCACACACCTCAGCGTAGCAAAAGGAGTTAATTTTTTCCTTTTGGAAACAGAGATACCAGACCAGGTAGCCCTTATGCTAAACAAGAGTTTAATGATGATAATACCACAAAAGAGACCCACATTAAAACTACATGTGTGTGTGCACTGGGATCAAACTCACCTATCACCTCCTCTATACACTCTCTATTTGTTAAAGTGCTCCTGTGCCAATAAGAAACCCTCCAATCCATAACTCCCTAGATAAGATTGAACAAGTGCTAACACAACCCTTCCAGGTAACACTAAGGCTTTCACCTGTAACAACCAGAACAGATCAACCACAGCACAAATTCTGTTAGGTCTTCCCAAATAATCTTTAACTCTTTTGATGTCACTCATGATGTAGGAAACTCTTGGCCAGGTAGACTGGAAGAGCAAAGAATGCTGTCCCTTGCACAGGGATCCATGCACTATTATCACAGATGTCATGTCTCCTCCCCTACCTCCTTTATCTCCAGCCTTAACAGACCTTTTGCTTATTTCTTGCACCAGCTTGAGTGAGTCAAACACTGGCACAGGTTGTCCAGAGAACTGCTAGAGCCTCCATCCTTGGACGTATTCCAAATCCAACTGAACCTGGTCCTGAACAATTTGCTCTAGCTGTCCCTGTTTGAGAAGGGGATTGGAGTAGATGGTCTCAAAAGGTCCCTTCCAACTTAAATGGTTTTCTGACAAGGAGAAACAGACTGTACCCCAGAATACTATCCCACTTGCTGGTGTGGGCACACTCCAGAGAAGGCAGAAGTGGCTTATGGAGGAATCAATCTACCCATCACTGCATGTGGCAGCAGGGGAAAAAGGAGACAGGGACAGAAACGGAGGAACTACAGGTCTCCAAAGGTTCCAGCACAGCAACCTTCTGTCCCAGCCATATTCTTTAGAATTCTTCAATGCAGCCTGGGACAGGAGACCGGAGCCCAGGAATATCACAAGCAGTCTCCAACTGCAGCCCTCTGGCACTGCCCTCAGCCTCCTGTGTGGCTGCTGCTGAGGACATTGCCACTGCCACTCCTCAGGCATTTTATGCATTTGATCCACTTACTCTGATGGCAAAAGCAAGTGTCCACTGTGACACAACACCTTAAGAGCACACTGCAGGCATGGGATGCAGAAACATGCCACTGCCTGGTCACACAAGAAGAGCATCATAGCCAATTCTGGCAGATTTCTCACACAGGACATCAAATTCCCTCCCTTCTCCTCGGCAGGGCTTCCCCCACATCCCTGGCCACCCGGCGAACAACTTTTGGCCCTCAAATGCAGACATTCCTCCATCAACCACAGCCCTTCAACAGCAAATTGTCCATGTGTGCCCACATATTTGAGCCTAAACAATGTACATCTCTATCAAAAATATTAGCCTCACACCTCCAGGAAGGAGGTGTCTTCCTTTCACCATCTTTCTGGGACACCTTTTAAATAAAAACCAAAGAGACACTTTGCCTTGTACATTCTTTCACAGAACATGTACCTGCTCCCAGTTCAGATGACCTTTCCTCAGTCCACTTCCTATGTGTAAAAACTAGAGGTGCTTACAAATCTCAGTGCAGTCATCTGCCATCTTCTCCCCAGCAAGAACAGAGCAAATGAGAACTATTATACATATTATAATGTACCTGACAAGAGCCCAAGCCGTGTATGTGGAGCTGGCACGGATCTTCCCCACTTACAGGAGCTCACATTTATCAGTACAGTATGTCTTTCAGAAATCTAAGCAACCTGCAGAAATCAGATCTGTCTTGCCCACACAACTGCTGCCACCTTCAAAGAAAGTGGTACATCTAAGGTTTGCTTTTAGAAAAGCCATATTAATTCACCCTCAATGCACTGTTTTTCCAAGTGTCCTTTATTTGTGTTCTTCTGCATTGCTTCTACCATTTTGAGAGAGAGATGTTAGGCTTACTGTAGCTTGTATCCTCCTAGGTATCTCCCGTCAAGCTGAGAATGCTTCTCTGGATCAGTTCCCTGATTCAACTTACTTCCCAGACTCATGGGCCCATGCCTAATCATGGGCCAGGGTACAAGTCCAGCCATCTCTTCTTTTCTCAGCAGGGCAGATCTATGGCAAAATAATCACGAACCTGCAGCCTGTTGCCACTGATCTCCTTTAGCTGAGCCTTTTGAGAGCCGCTCCCTATTGAGCAGTTTGGATAACCCTTTCTGTGTTCCAAGGGGTTTATCAAAACATAGTACGTCAGAAACAACAACACAAGACAATTACTTGAAGCAGGATTCAGACTTGAACTTGTGGTTACTCTCTGTCCTGCATCCTGAAGTAAGGGACCCACACAACAGGCTCAAGACAAAGCACAAGACACTTCCAACACAAAACAATTTCTTGATTCCCTCCAGGGCCATAAGATTGATTACAACAAACACAACAGTCACCACTTCTGCTAGGTGCCATCAAAGCCTTCTTTCCCAGCATGCTCCCATGACTATATCCTTGCCTAGCTGCTGAGGATTTTTACAACTCAACCCACTAGCTGCAGGCAGACACAAAGTTTGCTGAGGCACTGTCAGTTGCAGGGTATGAGGAGGCCATTTTACACACTGTCACCCACTCTCCTTACAGAAAACTATACAACTTCAACCTCCTACCTCAAGGCAGCCCCACTGCCAAACAGACCTCCACCCCACCTTCATTTTTGGTACCAGAAGAGAACACAAATTCTGTCGCAGCTTCCCACTCCCACTGGCAGCACCTGCATGGTAACTTTCACACACTTGGGTACCAGTGTCGGAGGAAAGAACAAGCTCGGGGTTTGGAGGCAGATGGGGAAGAGATGAAAAACTTTAGGCTTCCATAATAAGAGTAAACAGAACATGCAGAACCTGTTCCCTAACAAATAAACCAGAGAAAATAATAACTTCAGACTCTTGACTGATTCTAAAGTCACTTTCAAGGCACAGAGCTTATGGCACTGACAGAAGTGACAGAAAAATTTGTAATCGCAATCTCAAAACTCGTAACACAGACTGAAATAACAGTTTAGTAAATGTCTGAGTAATACGGAGCTCTCAGAGCCAGCCTGCCTCGTCAGCTCTTCTCCTTTTGCTCAGCTTCCACAACCAGGCCTAAGGAACGACTGCCCAACAAGGCCCAGCCATCCATGCCCATCCAGCTCAAACTACAGGCTCACTGCTAAGAGCAATTAGGACTTCTCTTTCTTTTCATGGAATTTCTAGGTAGGCACTCCTGCTCCACCCTGCCAAGCAAAACATGGACCTACTGATTCAGGACAGATGGAGGTAGAACAACCTCACACCTGCAAAGCACACTCACATCTGGCTGCACCTGAGGTTTCAAGCCTTTGGAGACTTGAGTTTCAGAAGGGGGGAACCATCTACATTTTTCACCCATCAGCCTTTGGCTGTTCATGCACCCATCAACCCCTGCCCACATGTAAATTCAGTAAAACATGGGCAACACCTTCCTTTCCTCCAGAAAAATACTTTCACTTACTAAAGCAAGAACTCCCACATGCAGTTTGCTCCCCTTCCCCTGTCACTCACAGGGCAGCAGAAGCAGCTCCCTAACTTTCCAAACTAGCACCCCAATATCATAGCCCCTTCCTCCTCCATCCCCTTCCAACTCACAAGCATCCTGACTGCAAGCTTCTACGCACCAACTGCAGATACACAACCTTGCTTTCTGGCTCTGCTTCAGCATTCACTTACAAACTGTGTTACTGATGGCAGAGATCTCAGATGGAAAATCCCCACCTTCAAAAAGCATTTCATTTTCAACTCATCGGATGCAATTATCTATGGAAGAGCAATACAACAGGATTTTCTCTATCCCTCAAGGAAGAACAAGGAGCTTTTCCTGTGACCTAAAGGAGGGAACATTACATTCACTGGATAGGCACTCCCAGTCCAGGATGACCCCTTTCTGCCTAATTCACCCATTTATCCTTTTTCTCCCTCTTATAGTTTGGAAGGCATAAAACCACACCCCTTTGTTCTTCACACTATTTGGTTGCTTTGTGCCCCCTCTGTTTCTGTTACCATGTCCCTTTTGCCATCAGAGTGCTACAATGGGAGAGATGAAGAACTAGACAGAGCACACTCTAAAAGGGTGTGCTGATGCAGTAAGAAAACAGCAAGAGAAAAACTCCCAGGAAGGGGCTAAGCATGTTCTAGTATTTGTACATTCTTTTTTTGCACACTACGAGATGCTTCTTTCCCCCAGAAAGCTTTAGTGAGACCATACCTGCATCCTGCTTTAGTCAACAGATGCTCCCCTAGTCCAGACCAATGGGAGACAGATTCAACCAGTACAGGGCACCCAGGCAATCAGATGACAACAAGCCAGTGCAGTAGCAGCAACAAACACTGCTCCATGCTAGAACACCACTTGCACACCACACTTCACAGTATACATCGAAGAGCAGACTAAAGGCAACTGCCTTCAAAGAACAAGGCCTTGGTGATTTAGACCAACGCTTCTGTGCTATCAAATCATTGCTCACAAACAGTCTCATGGTCAACATACAGCAGAGAACATCTGATGTCCAATAAATGCTAACTGTCCACAGCTGCATAGTCTTGACTATTGCCACCAGACTACAACAACTCGCTTCATCTCAGACTACAGATCACCACAAATAGCATCTACAGAGATCCACAACTCTAGTTATTTAACAAATACATTAAAAGCCATTTCAGGAGCCAGATTTGCACCTAAATCTGGACAGAGATGAAAATAAATTAAACCCTGGGTGTTCTTTGCTTTCAGAAGCTCAGAGGATTCATGCTTTGCCTATGCATCAGCAATGGGCATCTATGTACAAAAGAACAACATTTAATAAGAGCTTCTCCTCACGCTCCCAAACAGTAGTGCTGGCAAAGAGAAAAGGTGGAGTTGTCCACACATTTTCATTAGGGACACCTTTTCACAATCAACATTTCTCTTGCTGAGCCACTCAAATCTATCCCTTTTGAGGTCTTCTCACAGCTGGAATAATTACCTGCGGAATATGACAATGCATTAAGAAAGGGAAAGACAAAATTATCCTACGTTAATCTTACTCAATAGTTGTCTGGTCCAAAACTCCTGTTACTGGGATCCCATAAAACTGTTGCATAGTGGCAACTGCAGACTGCACAGCTTTGCCCGACTGCAAGGCTGACATTTGGCTGTCAGATGGAAGTAAGTAGCCGTAAGTTTTTAACCAGCCCTGAAAAAGAAAGAAACAGATGGTAAGATGCCATGGTAAGTTTTCAACTTAACAGATCAGAACATCTCAAAAGAAAAAGTGACGAACTAGCTCAAAAAATTCAACCACCTCTCTTTTTTTTTGGCTAGGTTTGTTAATACCATCTGATCCCCGGGAAGGGCTGAAGACCCAGCTTAACATCAGCTTAACATCAGCTGTCCTGGCAGACAATGCAGAGCTGCCAGTTAAAATTGCATCATCCCTCCTGAGCAACTGGGGCAGACTTAGGTCTTTGGGGCAACAGAAATGCCCAAGATGGTCCTTGTTCCAGAGGCTTCTTATGCACCCTGTCACCTTGCATCACAAGATGGCAAGGTGACATCTCACTTCTCACTGCAGCATGCTCCCACTAACACTCTGCCCACCACCTACTGCTGTCTCTGGACCATCACTTCAAGCAAACAGCTTAACAGGCCTGGGCGATCCCCACAAACACAGCTTCAGCTCTACCCTTGCACGGAGCACCAGAGTATTTCTTACATAAAAACCCCACACAGCACCACCATCAAAAACCAACCCCAAAACAAACAACCCACGCTCAGAAAGCTTGCAGGGACTCTGTTTGGATGGACTTTTCCTCTTGTAGAAGCAGACATCCAGCAAACTGTCAGAACAGGAAAACAGCCAACTCTTCTCAAGGAGCTTTATCCCTTTTCCCTGCCTCCCCCCCCAAAATGCAGCCTTAGATAAAACCACACGTCAAACCTGTCAAAACGCATTTTCAAAAACACACATTAATTTAGGATTATTTTTCCCTCTCCTCTTCCCTCCCCCTCACTTTGATATCACAAGAAAGAGGAACATTAGTTCACCTTTAAGTGCAAGTGTAATAAAACCTGAATGAAGGCTTGCTTTCACAAACCTTTCACCATAACTTTTCTTGCGCACACCCCAGTGCTGTGCTTCTTTCTTCTGGCCAATGCTCCACCCCTCCAAGTCAATTCTTAGATGAGGATTACTAAGAGATGGACCACAAGGACAATCCATCTGACCCACAAGACACAGCCCCCAACACACAAGCGCTGATGGATCACACTGGCAGCCTGAACACACAGAGTAAAGGGGAGAGAAGAGACACATCTTCTCTTAACCTAACACAGCAGTGGGAAAGCAGCTGAAGTCAGAAGGAGCACAAGAGGGAGAACAACCCCCATCTTCACTGTGACAAGAAGTTAACAGAAGCCATCGGGAACAGAGGAAAGCTCTGCTTCCAAGGCAAAGAATGAAGGTGTACGACAGCATTTGGGCTGGGTACGTTAAAGTTCACCGAGTAAATGGCCATAGAGAGGTATTCAAGACAAACAAAGCCAAACTACAACACTGCCCTGGCATCTCGCACCGGCATCTGACAAACAGTATGCTGGAACTCTCGGACCTTTGGTCTGACCAAAATACACTGTCCTTGAGCAGCAAGGGCAGAGCACGCTACCCAAACCGCTACCCAAACTAACTAACCAGAGCGGCTCTAAGCGGGGCTACCCTCGCGTATCGACTTTCCCCCCCCGGCCAGACTCGGACACGGCGGCGGGCAGGGAAAAAGGACC